GGGAAGCGCCGGGCCTGGAGATGGCCGTGAACTCTATCTACTACTCCAGAGACGAAGGTGGGACCTGCCGCTGCCCTGACTTTGGAGCAGACCCTCTGTGGGCCCTGTGCTGCTGCTGCCCCATCACCGGGGCTCCAGCAGGCAGAGCTGGGGGTGTGGCTCCCTCTGCCCTCCCTGAGCACCCCTGTCCCCGCAGTGAACGCCTTCTGGGTGACGGTGCAGCGGACCGAGGCCGCCGAGCGCTGCGAGCTGCGCGGCACCTACCTGCTCAAGGCTGAGCGAGACAGCCTCGTGCTGAAGGAGCCACGGGCAAACGAGATCCTCTACGTCTGGCCCTACCGGCTGCTCCGGAGATACGGCCGTGACAAGGTTGGGAGCGGGGGTCCTGCGTGCCGAGGCCTGTTCCCCCGTGGGCTTTCCCTTGCGGAGGGGCAGGGAGGGGATGTTCCCGACCAGCCTGAGCAGCAGGTCCTGCCAAGTGCCACAACTGCTACAGCCCTTGGTGACTGCAGCAGGGTCCCCAGGGGCGTCTGATCCTCTATCCGTGGCTCCCACCCGTGTCACTGCAAGGAACCGTGGGCTGGCAGGACACCCATCCTCACCGAGGGCATGGCTGTGCAGAGCCACTCTGTGCATGGTCCTTGTCCCGCTTCCGCTGGGGCAGTTGTGACCCTCACTGGCCCCTCTGCTGGATGTCCCCACAGCTGCCTTGCTCATTCTCCATCTCAGGGCTCCACAGCCCATGCCACGGGCAGACCTGTCCTTCTGTGCTGCACACAGGCTCTCCCCAGCCTCCAGGGACCTTGGCTTCCTGCAGTCCTGGATTCAGCCTATCCGTCCCAAAGGATGGTGGCCAGGGCAGGAGGGGCTGGAAGTCTGAGGCACTAATTACTTTAGATTTGCTCACCTTACAGGGCGTACTGCTCTTAGCCTGGCTGACCTGTGTAGGTCTGTCCCCTCTCCAATGTCTTCCAGCAGCAGGTGCCTGATCTGTCTTGCTGCTACCCTGAGCTGGAGGTGTCTGCAGTGCTGGATGCTCATCCCTGGAGGTGTTCAGAAAACAAGTAGATGCAGCACTTGAGGCTATGGTCTAGTGGTTAGTCTTAGTGGGATGAAGGTTGGACTTGGATGATCCTAGAGGTCCTTTCCAACCATAGTGATTCTGTGGGGAGGAAGTGGTCTCTCCAGGGCTGTTCACAGATGTGATAGTGTTGGCTGCAGCTGATGGTGCTTTCTACAGCTTTTAACCCAAACAGAAGTGGAAACAGCTCATCCTGGGGAGGCATCTGGCTTGTCCACAGGGTTTGTGCCAGGGGCAGGATGAGAGCCATGCAGTGTGAGGAGCAGGCAGCTGCACCCACAGGTCCCTGAGCAGTCACAGGTTTGCTGTGCTTGTGTTCGGCAGCACTGACCCACAACAGGATGTCTGGCCCCAGAGGCTTTTGCAGCAACCCCAGAGACTGTTGCTGCATGTGAGAGAGCACTGGTGAGGCGGAAATCTCACCTGGATTCAGGGACTGAGGTTCAGGAAGGGTGTGGGCATCTGCTAGTGGGAATCTGGGAATGAGTGTGTGTTCAGGCCAGAGGAACATGGCCTTGGTGCAAGACTCCTCTTACAGTACTTTATACCATTAACAGGGTAATGCTGATAAGGCAAGTGCTTTGCTTACTACTGGTAGCCAAGCTGCTGTTTCACCTTTCCCCGGCAGAAAGCCATGTTCCTCTGTCTTGTATGTCTTGCCCCTGGATTGCTTCCCTTCTGCCTGACTAACGCTG